ATATATATATATATATATTTCATATTTTTATGTCTTTGTTTGACATTCGACAAAGCAGCAACACTCGCTAAGCACGAGGCGCGCATAAGTCTATACAATGAACAATAGAGTGCTCAAGAACGTGGTACCCCGAACGAGCATAATATATGATAAAGTAAGCAAGACCTTGAGAAAAAAACTCAACAACAAAATATCGAAATCATATATATATATATATATATATATATATATATATATATATATATATATATATATATATATATATATATATATATATTTCATATTTTTATGTCTTTGTTTGACATACGACAAAGCAGCAACACTCGCTAAGCACGAGGCGCGCATAAGTCTATACAATGAACTATAGAGTGTTCAAGAACGTGGTACCCCGAACGAGCATAAAAAAAAACGAACGAGTGGAAGGAAATAAAGTAAGCAAGACCTTGAGAAAAAAACTCAACAAAAAATATCGAAATCATATATATATATATATATATATATATATATATATATATATATATATATATATATATATATATATATATATATATATATATATATATATATATATATATATATATATATATATAGAATTACGTTTCGTTGTTTACAAAAACATTAGGCAGAGTGCTCAATGGATATCCAGAGCATAATTAAATAAGTGCAACGACTCAACAAATTCCACTAGGCATCTTTATTACTATTAGTTTCGTACCACAAGATGTGGCACTCATCAGATAAATTAGCCTTATGACTACAGCAAAAAACCTACAGTATTTATGTACAAGTGGATGAAAGCTTTAAATTAATCCTATTTACAAAGCACGCAAAGCAACGCAAAGCTTTCATCCACTTGTACATAAATACTGTAGGTTTTTTGCTGTAGTCATAAGGCTAATTTATCTGATGAGTGCCACATCTTGTGGTACGAAACTAATAGTAATAAAGATGCCTAGTGGAATTTGTTGAGTCGTTGCACTTATTTAATTATGCTCTGCATATCCATTGAGCACTCTGCCAAATGTTTTTGTAAACAACGAAACCTAATTATATATATATATATATATATATATATATATATATATATATATATATATATATATATATATATATATATATATATATATATATATATATATATATAAAATAAGTGCAACGACTCAACAAATTCCACTAGGTATAAAGATGCCTAGTGGAATTTGTTGCGTCGTTGCACTTATTTAATTATGCTCTGGATATCCATTGAGCACTCTGCCAAATGTTTTTGTAAACAATGAAACCTAATTATATATATATATATATATATATATATATATATATATATATATATATATATATATATATATATATATATATATATATATATATATATATTCTTCATATAATCTTCATATGAATAATCTTCATATGAATAATCTTCATATGAATAATCTTCATATTCCGGAAACGTGATTCTTAGCAGTCAAAAGAACACGTGTAAAACAGCACTCAAAATTGAAGAGCAAACAGCATGCATGGTTGATCTCGCTAACAAAGTTATTCTTAAAATCAGCGCTTAACCATACGAAACTGTAACATGTTTGCTTGATGAATATCAAATACGTTATAGCAAAATGTAAGGCTTATATACGGATGTACTAACTACTAAAGACAAAATACTGGAGTTTTGTTTTTATGTTTTTGCCCGTCCTCATTCAAAAATACCCGTCCAAAAGAAGGGTGGACGCGGGCCTCTGGCCTATATACCCATGGACTCTCGTCCAAGTGAAGCCAAGATAGCGAGGTTTATAGACACAAAGCTGGCAAGGAGTGTGCCGAAATTTCGTATTTTGACATCGATTTAAAGAATAACACCATGGCTTTATGAACTGATAACTTGTTTAGCGATACAGTCCGTTAGAAAAAACTGGAATTAGCTGGGGAAAATGGTATTAAAACTGCTTAAGATCTTCATAGCTATTGGATGATAATTTCGCCATCTTAATTGCCTTCACTTTCCAGTCTCATAGGCCGAATACACATTTCCAATTCCCATTAATTAATGGGTTTTTGAATGGTTTTTAAAGATTTACCATGTGACGCATACCATCAATGTAAAAACTGAAGTCTTGCCATTATTGGTTATTAATATTATATAGGTAAAAACCATGATGTTTAAAGACCATGTCAAATCCGTTCTGCGCATCAGTTCTGCTCATAACAAAGTGTCAAAGGGGGACCTGCAACACCGCGGAAAAACGTCTGCGCATGCACCAAATTATGAAAATATGGCGGGGAATTTGAATATCAATTTCTAAAACAAAAACATGCTTATTAATTGGTCAAAAATTAGTAAAACAAACGAGAAAATATAGCAAATGGGTAGACTAGACATTAATTGAAAGTGTCCTGGCATTTAAAGTATGGAATGAAATATAATTCATGTAAAAAAATGTTGAATTTAACGGACACGACTTCGAAAATTTTTGCAAAATTATTCAAAACAAAAATTCAAACTAAAAAGTTAAGAAAATTCTCGAAAAGTTAAGCTTCTTAACTATAAAGTTTAATTATTGTGAACACGCAAATTTTTTATATTTGGCGACACAGTTTTTTTTAAAGAAATGTATCTCAAACGAAAATTCGGAAATTGTCATTGCTTAGTTGATAAACAAAATGTTTCAGACGATAAATTTGTCAACAATCACCTTTAGTTCATGTTCTTGTACAATACAATTTCTTGAACCTTCTGCCTGTATTTATTTCTAGTTTTTAGAATGACATGTTTATTTTTGCGCTTGAAATCTGGCTGTATTAAAAGACGCAAAATAAAGTCACTCCTTTTTACCGCCATTTTGAGCCTTCGGAAACGTTCGGAACAGCTTCTCATCAAGTTCGCAATACTATTACAGGTAAGGTTGACGCATGCGCAGACGTTTTTCCGCGGTGTTGGGACCCGCAGATATAAACATTGCCCAAATTTTGCATCTTTTGAACTTTTTTGCATTGAAACGTACTCTAGTTTATATTCATTTACAATAGCGAACCAGAAAAGTGTTAGATATTCAGTTAGTATGTCTTATTTTACTGATATAGCAGTTCAAAATGTAAACAAAGGATTTGTTTATACATTACAGACTTGACATGGTCTTTAAATGGTATATTAAAACATTTTCCGTGTTGATATATACAGTTACATCAACAGTACGAGTGGAAATTGGGAAAACAAGAAATTGTGTAGAAACACGACGCCCGGAGAGCGAAGTGTTTTCACTACAATTTCTCGTTTTCCCAATTTCCACGAGTGTTGATATAACTGCATGTATATCAATTATACGGAAAAATGTTTTATATTTTTTTTATAATATAGCGCAAAGAAATATAAACAAGAAAGAGGTTTTCCGTGTTGACATTGAGTTATGTCAACACGGCTCTTTTAGCCAATCAATTTAAAAAAATGCCACATTATCTAAAGTACCATTAATGGTAAATATTAATGGTTGGACCGCATTGATGTGTGATAAAGGAGGTACAAATAGGTATATAAGTTGTCTGGATGAGCAGTGGTACTTATTTATTTATTTATTTAGCTTCGCCTATAATTACACAATCAAACAACACGTACACCCAACCATTTCTGTCCAACCCCAAAACGCGCAAACTTCAACGCAACGTACATGATTGTAAAATTAAACCTAGGACGGTTTAATTTTACAATCATACACATTCATTTTAATACGCTTGAATTTTAAGAGCCCAACACTGGAAAATACGGAAATTGCTTAAAAACTTGGCATAGACCTAGACAAAACTTATCGAAACACAGCAAATACGCCGAGCCTCCCACGTTTCAAGGTTGGAGAAAAGGGTAACATGCAACAACACAAAGTTGACAACAACAAAAAAGGCGGGGACACCAGAACAGCATAAAACCAATCACTGTGGGCCCTTGGATACAAAAAGCACATAAGTCATATTAACTAATAAATAAATTGAAACTGTTAATGGATATATATAGTGTATACATGTACTAATAGCAGCACGTTAATGGACTGGTTGAATGAGTTTGCGTGATATGTTGCATTTCAAGAGACAATGCGACACTGTTCTTAGAGACACGGTTGAAGAAAATAGTCCTCTAGGGATGCCAAGACTACCCTGGTAGGTTTTCTGGTGTCAGGTAGGTTTTCTGGTGTCAGGCGAGTTTTAAGGCATGGCGGATGGAGGCGCCTGAGTGCGGGCTACAGGTATGCGGAATTGATGGAAAAATACATCATATTTTTGCTGATATAACACCGGAAATTATAATACTTATCAATCAGAGAATCTGACAGTTTGTCCAAGTCAAACATAGGAGCTTTTAAGCAAGCGACATTTTTGACAACACGGTCGCGAACCGGAAGCAATCAAGCCGTTCGAGATGATGGCGTGAGCAGTTCTTGCTTTAAATCTGTTTAAATCAAACACGGCAGTTCATAAAGTTTTGACGTGTTCGTCATTTTGTATACATCACACGCCATCTATAACTGCTCGATTGACTTCCGCCTTGCATACATGCCGTCAAAAACGTCCCCTGAGTTTTAACTTTTACGCTCTCAATTTTCGTCGCCACGGGAGGCGAAAATCTGGCAACGTTTGTTGAGTCAAAAACAACCTCAATCCACGAATCTGTTTGTTAAACGAAAGTTTAAAATGGCGTATAATTTGTCCCGCTCTCCGCAGCTATAAACGTCATAAACCTGCGGTGATTGGTGACGAGTTCTCATCAGTTTATGCCACAACAGAAAATTTATTCCAAATATACTTTACAATTAAAACGCGGCCTGTTTGCCTGTCGCAACGTCTATGTTTGCTTGCTTGCTTGGCGCATAAATATAAATAAAACAGCTAGGTCTTTGCTAAACAGCTAGCAGATGGCACGTCAGCATGCAGTTATCACAGCGAGAAAATAATGCTTAATTATTTTCAGTATATGTTGTAGTCTTATATTTTGGTAACAAATAAGTATAGAATTGACACATGTAGTTTAATTATTAATTTTCTTGCAGAATGTCAACAATTCTGAGGTTTTATTATTAATACCGCCATCTGCTGGCTGAAATCAACAAGAAGAAGATCTAGGTTGACTAGCTCGACAGTCGTATAAAACAAAACTTTCATACACACCTTTTGTACATGAGTACTAAATACTTGAAACGTACTAGAATCTAGCACTTTTAATAAACATCCAATAATCAATATTCTCTTCTCTCTCTTTGTTTATACTGCTTAAATGTTGTTTTGTGCGTGACGCTTCCCTGGTTCATTAAAAAGTGATCATATGTTCATGCCCTCAGCAGTTGACAATGCTCTGTCAAGGAAGTGTTGCTCAACATTCTCTGGACATGATCAAATCTCTGAGCACGTCTCTCGGCACCTACACAAACAACACGCGGAAATCTAGCATGCAATTAACAGCGTGGAGTGAAGCCAGCACGCTGACGTGGTATTGCGCATGCTGTGAACTAGAAATCTTCACTTCCCGAAACAGCCGCGAGCTGAATTGCCCCGGCCCCGTTGAAGCATTTGTTCCAGCTACTGAAAGCGAAATAAACACTGTGATTGTAGATTGGGGTGTAATATATGGGATTGGGCTCACGTGAAACTGATTTCCTTGTAATCTTTAAAGTCCTTCAAAGCCCTGCCCCTGTCCTCAAATATACACAAACATTCACTTCAGAGCTACCAATACTGGTACCAACACAGAATACAAAACATATTAGATTTACAGAAAGACAAGATTACAAATTAGAATTAATAATGGATGGTTCCAGCTGGCTAAATTTTGATCTAGTTAATGCAAATTTTGTATTAATTAATTTGTATTACGCGCGGGAAAATGCACCACATTTGGGCGGGCCGATCATTACAAAATTTGCAAATTTCTCAGGGCTATATTTTCCGCTTTTTACAACATTTCGCAACCAAACTTTGCAATTTTACTAATTTTAACATGCTCTTCTAGCGTTTGTGATGGATTTCGTTTTTTCTTGTCTAGATCAAAATTAAGTCTATATAGTATGTCTAGTATAGCTGTCTAGTATAGCTGGAAACATCCATTGATCAAAATTTGTTGGGACATCGAAGCAATACTAGGCTATCAATGTCTCCATGGATTTGTCTGTCATTGCCATAACATACATAAACAAGTCATGTTTCGTTTCGGATCCCGTTTAAATAGCAACGTTGACAGATTCTTCTATGGTATGGACCATTGCTATATTGACCTGTAAACTATGACCTGTCTCAACAGGCAATCTATATGAGCTGAAATTCTGAGCTTTGAAACAGCTTGACGATGTTTATTACATGACTAATTTCAAGAAATATATTTTTCAACTTCAAAATTTATTTTGAAGTGAATTCTAACTTAACAAGACGCTCTATGGAGCGTTCACTCGCTGGGGCTATACAACGGACGCACATTACTGTTAAGATCTAAAGGCTGATTTCCACTGTTGCGTTTTTCGTACGCACGTACACGTTCGTAAAATTTTGAATCCTTTTATTTTTAAATATTTTACAAATAAGTTAGTTAACAAATGCATACTAAAACTTGCGGAACAGTAAATTCTGTTGCTTTATAGTTATTTGGTTATTTTATAAGTAACATTCAAGGGAAAATTTTGCCTGGTAAATTTTTCAGTGGTTGTGGCATTAAGTTTATGTTGTGATCAAACTTAATTTACCCTATTATGCTTCTCGTCCTTATTCTGCTTCAATTCCGCGTTTTATCCTCATTTGCGGAATCCGCGTTTTATCCTCATTTGCGGAATCCGCTTCCGCATTCCAGTTCCGCGTTTTATCCCAACCCTATAAAACTTCCGGCGTTTATGCCAATGCCACAAAATAGAAATGAGTTCGACTAATGGTCGCGGGTCGCGTGTCGCGGGTAAAAAGTCGTGGGTCGCGGGTAAAATGTCGCGGGTAAAAAGTCGAACGGAGTCGATCTTCGCTTACCAAAATATATCAAGGCTAAGCATTCATAACTCGATCTCAAACTCATTAATAATTCATGAGTAAATTAGCCAACCATATTGCTTTATTTTGCTCACATGATAATACTGGATACCTGGTGAAGTATAGTGATCCAGTCCTAGGAACTGAATCAAAATTAATTCAGTCTTGGACTGCGTCGAAATGAATTCACTTCACTTTTTAAGTAGTGGTATATTCGTGTGAGATGTCAATGTCATTCCGAATCCTCCAATTCGGACTGGCTAGATTTCAAGTCGGCTTCGCCTCGGACTTGATCAAATTGCGCGGATTTTATCAAATTGCGCTGACTTGATCAATTGTGCGGACTTGATCAAATTGCGCTGACGTGATCAAATTGCGCTGACTTGATCAATTGCGCTGACTTGATCAAATTGCGCGGATTTGATCAAATTGCGCTGACTTGATCAAATTGCGCTGACTTGATCAAATTGCGCGGATTTGATCAAATTGCGCTGACTTGATCAAATTGCGCTGACTTGATCAAATTGCGCTGACTTGATCCTCACTCCTCCGCAGAGGCTTTTAAAGAATATGAATTCGAAGGAATTGAAATTGCGCTAGAAGGTATCTGGTATGAAGACAACCGCGCAATTTCAATTCCTTCGAATTTCATATTCTTTAAAAGCCTCTGCGGAGGAGAGAGAACTTGATCAAACTGTACTGACTTGATCAAATTGCACTGACTTGATCAAATTGCGCTGACTTGATCAAATTGCGCTGACTTGATCAAATTGCGCTGACTTGATCAAATTGCGCTGACTTGATCAAATTGTGCAGACTTGATCAAATTGCGCAGACTTGATCAAATTGCGCAGACTTGATCAAATTGCGCTGACTTGATCAAATTGCGCAGACTTGATCAAATTGCGCAGACTTGATCAAATTGCGCAGACTTGATCAAATTGCGCTGACTTGATCAAATTGTGCGGAAAGAAATCGCATTAGAAGTCGCAGCAAAAATTGCAAGCTAGTGTATTAACGAGCCTTAAAATTAAACCTATTAAATCTTTCGTATATGCTTCATCAAATTAAACAGGAAATTGTGCGAATGGAATGTTGTCTATATTTTATGTATTTAACGCAAAATTGATTAAAAGACATTCCGCGACATTCTACACGCGACACGCGACTTTTTACCCGCGATACGCGACCATTAATCGAACTCATTAAATCATGACAAAAGGCTCTTGGGCAATATTTCGTATTGAAGCAATCCTATATAGTTGTTTACTAAATGATAACGTGATTTTTACACACTTTATTCAACCCGCGACTCAATAAAATACACGGTTTGGAGCTTTTGCGACCCGCGACTTTTTACCCGCGACCCGCGACATTCGACCCGCGACGTTCTACCCGCGACACGCGACTTTTTACCCGCGACTTTTTACCCGCGACACGCGACCATTAGTCAAACTCTTTGGAATCATTCGCTCCGAGAACATTAAACATTTCATCCTGTGAAAGAATACAAGTTTGTTTATAGTAGTGTCACCCTCTTTGAATAACAGTTTCCATCAAAACAGGAAATTGTGCAAATGGAAGAATGATATCCTCACGAGGTCAAGTAGAAGCTTTCATCGTCTTAACTGGTTGCTTGCGTCACAGACTAAAGATCCATACAGTAGGGCCACTAAACGTCGATATTTTTGCATAAAAATAAACACTCAAAATAAACGAGAACACGTTGCACCGGATCTTTATTCTGTGCTTGCGAAATGAGTGACGTGCAGCACATGACATGATTATAAAACAAAGGTCTAATCCAACTTTGGCATTATATTGTGCATTATAATTACTTATTATAATGAGATGGATAATGAGATGATAAACATTATTAAGCTTCATTATCTTTTGTTTGAACTGCATTGTTTGAATTGCAGCTTAGAACCAAAGACAATACTCAACGTGACGAGAGATGATATAAGAGCTAAGAATGTACATGACTCATAAGTATGTTGGACATGATTCATCTGTACGTGTTTTTCAGAGGAATCTCAGCAGGAAAAGGAAATACCTTGTTGATGTATCATCATCTGATATAAAGTCTATTTTTCAACAAATTGTTTAATTTCGTAAAAAACACGACCTTTATTACATCCATTAAACACGACCATTTATTAATCCTGAGGATGACTACAAACTAGTCGAAACGTCGATTAAAAATCAAAAATGTTATTCGGAGTTACTGTTATTTTGTATTTTTAAGAGCCTGGGTACGAGGTTGGAAGTTTATATGAGATGGCTATTAGTAAAACACGGAGCACGGAGTACGGAGCACGGAGCACACGGAGCACGGAGCACGGAACACGGAGCACACGAACTACGGAGCAGTAGAAAAACGAAAATCCTTTATAATAAAATACACTGTTTACTACAAATTTTTATTACAAATTTTTGTTCTTATTAATAAAGTTTTTTCGCGTTTTACACGTTGAGGAAGTAGAAAAATGTGGCTTTTACTGCACATATGATGCAAAACTGCCAAAAGCCATAGTATTTAAAATAGGATTGTGCCTGTGAAACTCGTCACATATCTATCAAGCTTATGAGTTATGTAGTTATATCAGTATATTCCGATGGCCAACGCATTAAGAAACACTTAGAGAACAGCCGATATATTTCGTTACCCCTGCCAAAAAATAGCTAAGTACTCATCTTTCAATGTAGCGGATCGACTGAACATTATAAAAGCTTGTCATGGAGAGAAGTGAATTTTCGGTTTATCCTTCGTCCCAGTGACCAGTGTGCTGTACGGCCTACGCCGGTTTAAACCGTTATACATAATTACTGCTTTCATTCTTTCAATCCGTTTTGAATATTCGGAATCATTCACTATTATATTATAAAACTGTATAAGATAGCTGTAGAACTATAAATGCTGTAGAATAAAATAAATAAAGAAAACTACGTTTTATCGCGGTATTTGCCGATAAATCGGTAACCGCTACAGAAAAACAACAAATTACAGTAAAATCACAACAAACCGCGGAAGTGGGACAATTTTTGTATTTTTACTGTAAGACATATGCACAACATGTACGAAATCCATACAGAAGTGTGTGTGTATTCTATACTTTTGAAACAACTAAATCAGACTTCGGAAAATTTGACAGTATTAAAGCTACTTTTGAGAATTTAGATTTTAGGTCTTTGTTTTACATGTACCCAGTAAATATTTTTGAGTTTTGAACTCTGATTCTCACAAACTTACAATTTGTTTCCAATTTACTCTGGCTCTGCCGTGCTGCACGGCAGAGTTGATCGGAATTGTAACAAATACGCGTACACTTAAATGGCTTCCTGAATTTAGTCAATCAGATGTGTAAAAATTACTCGTTTCAATATTATGTTTATGCTCGAAACTGCTCATGTTTACAATAGTAATTCTAACAATCTTGCCCTCCTTTTCGCCTTTGAGGCGTTGGTGTTGATTTATACACAA